GTTACTATAAAATAGTTAATTCCTTGTTTTATGTCCGTCATTATAAACCATGCGGGTGAAGCCCCAGACGGAAAGCTAGCTACAAAATAAAGTAGTGACTCACTGGCTTCGAGTAGGTCCAGCTAGTTTCATCACCTGAGCTCGCATGCAGCGGTAGCTGTGTGAATTCCTGAAGTGTTTGCATCTGAAATTACATAAAAAGACATTACAGCTCTGTAAATGAATGAATTGGTGTCAATTGTATTATCCCTAAATCTAGGCAAGTGCCTGAGGCGCCAGGTTACACACAGGTGCCACGAAACGCGCGCACCCATAGATAGGAGGCGGCGCCGAAAAAAATTTGGGGCCTATAAGGTGTTTGCCCAACAGGACCTAGAAGGGCGGTATCTAGGTTTATTTCGCTTCTAACTATATTATATCTATTCTAACTTCTAAGTTAGGGGCTGCTGGCCATGGGCACTGTTAAGTTTTTCTTTGGGTTTATATATGGAGAACCCTCCGACCAAGTCAGGTGATCGTGGCTGGTGGGTTTTGAGCCCAACAGTTGTTCGTTGGGATCTATTCATGTTTATTCGTTTAGTGACGTCATCCGTTGATTTATTTATCAGCGATTGTCTATGTGCATGAGGTGTCATTTGAGATTTGTCATGTGTTACCACAGGTTGGATCGAAAATATATAGAAAGACAAAATGTTTATAGAGGCAGGGAGTTCAAGTGTGCTTCGGCACGAATGGGCCGGCTCGACCGGAGTGATACCACGGCCGAGCAGAAAACCGACGTGAAGCAACGCTTGCGTTGTGTTTGATCGTGTGAGTGAGGTTACCGGAGGCCCAATTACCCTCCCCTTCCCCAATCTCCCCAATTCCTGAATCCCCAACGATCCTCAAACTCTTAATCCCCAAAAGGTCGGTAACGCCCTTGTAACGTCTCTGGTGTTCCAGGTGTCCATGTGCGGCGCCGATTGCTTACCATCAGATGATCCGTCTACTCGTTTACCAATTTATGCCATAAAAAAAGGGAGCGTCAAGGATTTTAGAGCAACTCCCTGAGTACTGGCTTTCTGCATAAATAGCTATACCATCCTGCGTAGTGATCCGTCTATTCTTTTTGTCTCCTATCTTATAAAAACACAGCCTAAATGATGACACAACAATGATACTCTACTCACCCATTTTGTTTCGAACAGATACAAACACTGTTATTAGTATTTTCGTCCCTGAAACAAGATAATATAATTAAAAAAAATTGGATACCTTCTTTCCTTAAACAAAAACAAATTATTTCGGCTATTCAATACAATAAAATATTAAAAAACAATCACACTTTCATTAATTGATTTTATGACCAACTTCATTTCAATATTTTTCCAGCAAGTTCTTAAGAAATTAGTACGCTGTTAGACCCCAAAAAAATGAGAAGTCACAATAAACAATTTCGTACAGAATTCATAGTGAACTGTCGTTTATGACAGTTCGAAAAAGTATTGAATTTGACTAGTTGTATACCCAATTATCCTCTCGCGCGTTTCTCGTACACACGTGTAAATATTATAATAGAAATCGAATTAACTATTCTGTTCAATCAAATAAAGAACGGGTTGCAACTTGAAAATATACGTCACAGAAAATATATCCAATCGGTGCGCGTTTCTCGTATTATTCCAAAAAATATGAAATTTCAGCTCAATATCTGCTTCGAAACTCAGGTTCAAGATTACACTTAACACACGCATACATTGCAAGTTTAATATTATAAGCTTGTGATAGAAGTAAAATAGATAACATTACCTTGCAATTTTAGACACTTTCGCAACCAAATCGATCCTGAAAATTAGTAAAAGGACGATTTTAAATACTTATTGTTACACATCCCTCAAAATTAATGTCTATCAACTATGAGCTCCTGGAGAACGATGACTCTGGATCTCCTCTCGTCCAAAATATTGCCGGCCCTCAATTATACACAGATGGCAGCAGAATTAACGGAGGCGTTGGTTCTGCCTTGACTTGGTGGGAGGGCGGTCGTGAGTACATGTTTTCCACTTTTAGTTTAGACCCTTCCTGCACGGTTTTCCAATCTGAACTATACGCTTTGAACAGAGCGGCTAAAATGGTTCTCGACAATGGAGCGACTAGAGTAAACATATTTAGTGACTCTAGGTCCTCCCTCGATGTTTTGAAGAATCCCAGGATTACCCACTGTTTGGCCAAGGAGATAAAGCAGTGTTTGGAGACCATAACGGAACAGGGAAGAGAGGTTCGATTCTACTGGCTGAGGGCCCATGTTGGAACGGCTGGAAATGAGAGGGCAGACGAATTAGCTAAAACCGCTGCCAAACAGAAAAATAACACCACGGCAGACTACTGTAGAATACCCATATCCTATGTCAAAAAAAAAATTAGGGACGAAACTATCCGTAAGTGGCAGGACAGGTATACCACCTCAACTACTGGGCAGGTGACTAAAACGTTTCTCCCAGATGTCCATGAGGCATATCGAATAGTGAGATCAACAAAGTTGACACCTGCCCAAGTTCAGGCGCTGACTGGACATGGAGGGATCGCTGAATATCTGCATCGATTTAAACTAAAAGAAAGTGCAGGTTGCGAATGCGATCCAACTATCAGTGAGTCTGTGTGGCACATTATTCTAGAGTGTCCTCGTTTTCTAGCCGCCAGAACCAACTTAGAAAATGTAATGGATGCAAATCTGGATTCCTCAAATCTGAGTGCCATTCTGGCTGATAAAACCAAAAGACCGCATTTTCTGAGCTACATTGAAACCATCTTCAACAGGGCGGCTGAAAGAAACAGCACATTAAATAATACAAATCGAATAGCCAACTTGGAGAATCAACCAAATACTTCCATGGCAGTATCCGAGATCGCCCGTACCACTGAACCGCACACCATCAATGAGAGGCAAATACTCTTGCATGGAGAATGCGGCTCCAAAGGAATACGGCTACGAAGTGTAGCTCTGTTCATGAACACCAGCAGCGAAAGGCTAGGGATAGCCTTCTGCGAAAGCAAGAACAGCAAATGGCTTACTATTTCACCCGGCTTAGCCTCCCTAATGAATGGCAGCACATCCAAGACAAGTATGCGGCGCAAAACATACGATGCGCTGCCAGAAATGCAACTGCTGGGTCGGAGCTGTCGACTACTGCGAACACGCAATAAAACAATTGCAATGTTCTCCAGCGTCGACTCAATGACTTGTTTTGAACAAGCTTGCGGTGTGCTGTCGGACATGGGTGGGCGGGGAGAGGTCGAGGGTATGAGTCCCAGAATAATTAGTGTGGACGCTGCCGTGGTAGCTTATGAGAAGGGAAGAACGGCAGACCTTATAGGATGCGTCAGGGCTTCAGAACATCATGAAGTCATCGTGTACGAGAACAGGGGTGAGGACTTGAGTTTCCTCAAAAAGCCAGTTCGATACGCGCTAAGGGTGGATTCTCCAAGCGGCTCAGAGCGTCTACAACAAAGATATAGGCAACAAAGCGCTCTGCAACAACACCAACAAAACACCGAGAGGGAAAATAAAAAATTAGAATCACGAGGTAGAGTGTGGGCAATAACAGCGGCCATATGCTCAGTAACCGGACTGATTTCGTCACCCTTCAGAAAAAATGTGGTTAAATCTGCTCAAGGATCAGGAGGCGCACAAATACAGTCTCCTCCCCCCAGGTCATCACCAACAAGAGCAGCTATGGGTCACGTTTGTCCGCCGAGGCTTCGACAAGCGCCCACTACCAGAGACCATGTCGTAAATGCTTTTCTCGAGTTTACCGCAGTGGTGGAGGCAACCAGGCAAGTCAACATGCGGAAATGCGAATCCATTCTGCAGACTTACCTGCAAGGAAACGAGCTAATACTGAACGATAGACTCGAAGCAGCAGAAGCAGTCATATACGACAACAACACCTCGAGGGTACTGAGAGGAACCTCTATAACTCGAAGTATGGCTGCTTATAACGCAACTGCCGGATTTGTGTCTCTGGACGAGAGGGAATCCGATCGATGCGGAGTGTTAAAGTTTAAAACTCCTCCAGGGGATTCCCTAGTAGTGGTTGCCAAATGCACCAGAATTATGCTGGACGATAGAATATTAGAGATGGCAAGATCCATTTCTGATTCTGGATCAGACGGCGAAGTTTTTGGAGACTGGCATACTCCGACGTTTCGCTGGACAAATGGCGTCCCTGGTTGCGGAAAAACGACATGGATAGTAGATCAATTTGAAGCGGGCAAAGATCTAATTGTCACCACGACAACCGAAGCAGCAAATGACCTCAGAGGCAAACTATCCTGCCGAATCGGAGGACTCGTCAAATCTAGGGTTCGAACAATGGCGTCCATCCTAGTAAACGGCTTGGGGGAGCGAGAGAGCTGCCATCGCCTAATGGTAGATGAGGCTCTCATGAACCACTTTGGAGCCGTTGTGATGGCCGCCCGAATAACTCGAGCCAAGGAAGTCCTTCTAATTGGTGACATAAATCAGCTTCCGTTTATAGATCGTGATAACCTCTTCCCTCTACTCTACAGCCGCCCTACATATATCACGCCCATAAGCCAGGAATTGATGTGTACCCACAGAAATCCAATGGATGTGGCGTATGCCCTCAGCACAGTTTACAGTGGCATATATTCGTCCAGGTCGTTCGTGAGATCCCTCGAGATAAAAAGGTTCTCGGGGGCGATGATTCCAAAGTCACTCCCCGACACTTTATACCTGGTACACACTCAGGCAGAGAAGGAATCCCTTAAGAACCAGGGATACGGGTCGACCGTGGGATCACGCGTGCTCACGATACACGAGGCACAGGGACTTTCGTGTGCGAATGTGATTGTTGTCAACACAGCAACAAAGAAACATCAAATACATGACAGCGTACCACACGCGGTAGTAGCAATATCGCGTCACACGCATGGTTGCATCTATTACACAGACAACAGTGAAGACGCGATAAGCAAACTAATCAGGAAGGCGGCTGATGAGGGTGAGCAAGGTATTAAGGACTACAACCTGAAAATGGCCATCAAACACAGGGACGCGGCAGTCGTGGGTGCTCTCTTGGGCGGGGAGTGTTGCTTGTGATGGAACGAATGCAACATGAGGAAATGTGTGTGCAGAAACATGTAGAAATAGAATATGACCAATTGAATTTTGGACTATTGTACGCTTTATTGGAATCGGCCCATGTGGCAAGGGTTGAGGCGTCATGCACACATAAATGTCCTACAGTCGGTGGCGCTGTGTGTTGGGTTGTTCCGTTCCCAATAAAAAGGTTGACCGGACCAATTGCTGACACACACGTCATACTCGTGAACGGGTGCCTTCTGCTGGGTCAGGTCGGCTCTCCCATCGTGTTGGTAGGCTGATTTCATAAAGCCTTCGAAATAGAAATAAATAAATAGTGCCTAATTATTATCTAACCTATACTTTTGCTAATAATTATAGATGTAGTTAATTGTAGTATGTAACTAGGTTCCCTCTTTACTTTATAAATATTGACTAGATGTATTATAATTAAAAAACTGTATGACAAGGGCACGGACCTAGAGAAATAATCTTTAATATTATAAAAAAAAAAAAAAAATACTTATTGTTTCCTATGAATAACAATAATAATGATAAAAAGCCGATCAGAGCCTTATCCCTAAAGCGCTTACCACACGTGCATCCCCAAAGCTTGGCTTAATGGTTTTTAAACTTGTTTAAAATTCTAGCATGCGCAAGCTATACTTCTTGTTTCAACTTGTCTGCGCGTGTGGTTGGTCGTTCAGTTTCAGTGTTCAATCCGCTCTCAATCGTAGAGCGGAGTAACTGTAGGCGCACGATCGCAAAAAATGGCGAATTTACGTACACATGGCCACAAATCAATCTATACAAAACCAGTTTATCCTGGTGTCGCGTCGCATCATCTTTCCCCACATTTAACGTTCAGTTTATACTGGTTATGTAAAGTTGGAGTGTTAGTAGTGTATTTTCTTGTTTTCATTAGCAAACACTTGAAAAATAATAGCATAAGAAATAATTCTTCATTGGGCTTAGTTAAGGCACAGTTAAGCGCGTGCTTAACTGTACCGTGTGGTAGACACGTCCATGTTCAGTCTTTCCATGCGACAAGCATGCGCACATTGAACTGTGTTCAAGGTTGCCCGAGTGGTAAGCGCTTCAAACTAGACAAGTGCCTAGGGCGCCAGGATAGAGAGGGGCGCCGCAAGACGCGCACGCACTACTGCCCATAGAGTGGTGCTAGGGGCGCCAATGAGGAGCTAGGGCGCTCACTGAATTTAATCCGACTCTGGTTGTTAAATACTTACCATCCAAGTTTATATGGCTTGTTTCTTCTATTAATTGTTGAATATAATCTTTTGATTCCACGAACTGAAACACATGCAAGAAAATGATAATTTCATAAAATTTCATAGACGCAGTGAGCAGTGTCGTTCGATTCCTATAACAATAGGGTAGATAGATGACTAATTTTTATTTTAAATTCGTCTGGTAGAATATTTCAAATCATTAGACACGTATTTTTTATTTTCTTACAGAAACGAATACTTTCGATGATAATAATTATATCAATTTGAAATGTCGCATGACGTCACTTCTATGTACATTTTATACGTAGAAATGACGTTTTAGCCCCCACTTCTAAACTTTTATTCGATTCCTAACTTAGGACTAATTAGATTTTTAATTTTAATACCCTATCACCATCCCAATTATGTGCATCTCTTTCTAACTATGCTTTAGAAATTTCAGCTTTAGTGTCGACCTTAGTCGTCGAGTTAAAAGGATTCATTACTTACTTTGATGTTCAGTAACTTCTTCATATAGTATTTGTTTCAGTCGCCTGCGAAGAGTACTGAAAAAATTAAATTGAAAGCTTTAAGACCCTTAATACAGATCTATACTTTTTTACAGAATAGTACCTAGGCAAACGAGTAGACGGATCACCTGATGGTAAGCGATTGGCGCCGACCATGGATACTCATAGCACCAGAGAAGCCACAGGTACTTTGTCGGGCTTTTAAAAAGAAATGCGCTATGTTCTTGTAGGTTGGAAGGTCATATCGGTTCGGAAGCCCCGCCGACGACAGATCATTCCACAGTTCTGCTGTGTGAGACAGAAAGCTGCGAGAGAAGCACACAGTTGTGACCTGCCAACCATCCATATAATGGCAATGTAAACACTGTCGTGTGGATCGATGGCGAAAAGACGCAGCAGGTCTGGTCAGGCGTCAGACCAAACTATTCCTTAGATTACTCAAATTACTCGAAGAGGAAGCGGCAGAATCTTCACCTGGGTCCCCAGTCTTCAAATTCCTAATCCCCAAAAGGTCGGTAACGCACTTATAACGCCTCTGGTGTGTCGCGGAGAACCTAACGGGTTACCGGGGCTCCAGCTCAAAGTGCAGGAGTAGGAACGGGGTGGTTTTTAGTCAGTAAGAGTCTAACACTCCCTCCCGCGTCACCCAGGCGGGAGCAGTCATTCGATGATTTTCCCCCGTTAAAAAAAACGCCTCTGGTGTTTCAGGTGTCCGACTGCTTACCATCAGCTAGTCCGTCTGCTCGTCTGAACGATTTATGAAAAAACTGTTTTCTACTGACAGCTTCGGCCATTCCCGTGGGACAAAAAATAGCCTATGTGTTATTCCAAACCATAATATTCTGATCTTCATCCCGATCCCTTCAGCCGTTTGACGTAATGGTGTACCATACATACAGACAAACTTTTGCATTTATAATATTAACTAGCTACTTCCGCGCGGTTTCACACGCTCTGCTCAGCTCCTATTTGTCGTAGCGTGATATTTTATAGCCTATAGCCTTCCTCGATAAATGGACTATCCAGCACAAAAAGAATTATTGGATTCGAATCTGTAGTTTCGGAGATTAGCGCGTTCAAACAAACAAACAAACAAAAAAACAAACTCTTCAGCTTTATAATATTAGTATACTCACTTGTTTTTGTAACGATCAGAAGTCCTCGGAATACTGATACGGGAGCTGCGTGTCAGTATATTCTTCTTGACTGGAAAAGAAACATCACCATCATCAACATCCCATAAGTGGTCACAGCTGACCAAAGGCCTCTTCTCACACGGAGAAGGTTTGAGCATTAATCACTACGCTTGCTCAATGCGGGTTGACGATTTCAAACTTATAATTAGAAATTATAAGTCCAGGTTTCCGCACGATGTTGTCCTTCACCGTTTGTGAGTGCTGTCTAAATAATCTTAGAAAGTAAGGAAGAGTTTAAGAAAACAGTCGCGCCGAGTGTTCCGGGCGCGCCCCATAGAGCCATCAGATCACCACAGACGGGGCCCAACAGGGCTGACGCCGATACGGAGCCGCGGAAGACTTAACGGGTAACCGGGGCTCCGGCTCGACGTGCAGGAGTAGAAACGGGGTGGTTTTTAGTCAGTAAGAGTCTGACACTCCCCCTCGCCTCACCCGGGCGGGAGAAGTCATTGGATGATTTTCCCCCACAAAAAAAAAGTTACATATGTATTAGGCTGTTATGTATGTCATGTACTTACAAAATCTTAATGGTAGTTTTATTAAGCTGCCTAGCCGTCTGTCCATGATTTTTCTGTAACAAACATTAGGTATTGTAAATAACTTTTATTGCATTTGAACATAAACAATAATATAACATCGCGCCTTTTATCCCCGAATAGATAGGCAGAGGTACAAATTATGATACTTAATGCCACTGCGCAATGTAACTCTCACTTTTCACTATTTATGTCATGAGTCCCATGTAATAGGCGGTGAGCCTATTGCCATATACCGGGCACGTTTCCAGACTCCGTGCTACTACTGAGATTTTAAAAACCCAGTAATACTTTGCCCGACCCGGGAATCGAACCCGAGACCCCTAGCCCCGGCAGTCGCATTTGCGACCACTCGGCCAACGAGGCAGTATAAGAACTTATGTTAAAATAACGTAAAGTTAAACTTCGTATGCTTTAACTCGTCGAGTACCGGTTTTGTAGACACAATTATAGAACAATAGGTTACGGTCACCGGTGACCGCTTGGTGTTTGACAGTTTAAACATGATGATCTATTGTAACTGTTTGGACTTAACTCCCAACAGTGAAAATGTTATGGAGAAGTTGAATGTTATGTTGAATGAGTAGACAACTGATCGGTATAAAGGTTTAATAGCTACTAAACATAATCTGTTAATATGTAATCATTATTGCCTTAACGAAACTGAAACGTTTTATTGAAAGTGGATTGATTAGGTAGCGTATACACTGTACAGAGTAGCCCGTATCGTAACTAAAACCCCTTTTGTATACCATTTTTGACGCAAATAAATGTCTTTATCTTTATCTAGGTTTTATAAGTATAGAAGACCCATGCTTCGGCACTGCTGGGCCGGCTCGACCGGAGTGATACCACGGCCGAGCAGAAAACGGCTGTGAACCAACACTTGCGTTGTGTTTCGTCGTGTGAGTGAGGTTATCGGAGGCCCAATTACCCTAGTCCCCGTCTCCCGAATCCTCCACAATCCTCAAATTCCCAATTCCCAAAAGGCCGCTAACGCACTTGTAACGCCTTGGTGTTTCGAGTGTCCATGGGCGGCGCAGACAGTGGGAATAGACCTATGCAGATTTTTAGACATTCAAAAGTTACTCACATAGCTGCCGACTCGTCCACAGTACTACATGGTGTATTGACCCACTCTGAAGCATTGCGAGAAACATCTGCCAACGAAACAACAAAAAGCAATGAAAAAACTACCTAACTAATACCTAATAATAACTAATAAGTTTTCATTGTTCATCAATCATAGATGATTAATTTTTATTTTAATGTCCGTCTGGTAGATTATTTTAAATCATTAGACACGTATTTTTTATTTTCTTACAGAAACGAATATTTTCGACGATATATATTGATTTGAAATGTCGCGTGACGTCACTTCTATGTAAATTTTATACGTAGAAATGACGTTTAGCCCCTTACTCCTAAACTCGATTTGATTCGTTCTAACTAAGTATTGTTTTATTACACGACAAAATAAACAATACGTGTCTAATATTTCTTTCATTAGCTAACTGACGGACTATTTAGATTTTTAATTTTCATGCCCTGTCATCATCCCTGTCCAAATAGTTTTGTTTTCATAAAATATCTAATACTTTTTGTTGTGAGACCAAAGAGATAGCTGTGAGTGACAGCTGTCATATTATTACAGTTCACTTTGTTTTTTTTTAACTGCAGTAGCAAATAAATCATAATATTGAGTGAAACCTTGTTGTCAGTAAAGATCCCAGAAAACACAAAAATCAATATTAAATAGGTATAACTTTTAACAATCCCTATTCATTAGAATTAAAAATTACCCGACTCCTGGTTCAATACGGCAAGACTGTAAGAACGGCCTTTTAGCCTTGAGCTGGAAAAACAAAAAAAGTATATTATGATTGTATATTTATATTATGCTCTACTGTATCATCGTCATCATCATAAACTCCTTTAAATCACCACGCTTGCTCAATGCGGGTTCGCGTTTCTAAACTTATGATTAGAAATTATAAGCTCAAGTTTCTTCAAAATATTTTCCTTCACCGATTTTCAATGGTATCTAAATATACTTAGAAAGTACATATAACTCGGAAAACGTCACATTGACATTGATATTTGCCGTTGGTAGGTTTCGGTCCCGCTCTGTCATGCATGAGATGCATGCGTCTTAAACCTCCGGACAACCACGACCATTATAATATGTAACTAAAGAATTTGTTGGAGGTTAAAGAGGCATGCTTCTCATGCTATCCACTATTTTATGTTATGAGTGCAATGTACTAGGGGGTGAGCCCATTGCCATATTACCGGGCAAAATTCCAGACTGCGTGCCACCTGTGGTGCCACTACTGAGATTAATTGAAAAAACCTAGTAATATTTTGCCGGACCCGGGAATCGAACCCGAGACCCCTTGCCCGGCAGTCGCACTTGCGAGCACTCGGCCAATGAGGCAGAGGCAGTAAAATAGCTAGTAATAACATTTTTTTAAAACATAAACTCTCAAATGGTATTAGCATGGTTAGGGAATTAACTTGAAACACCTTGCATTTAAAAAGCATTTATAGTTACTGCACTTTATGTTTATACTAGCGACCCGCCGCGCTTCGCCCGGGTGCAATATGCATGTATTATACATTATAAACCTTCCTTAAGAATCACTCTATCTATAAAAAAAACCGCATCAAAATCCGTTGCGTAGTTTTAAAGGTCTAAGCATACATAGGGACAGACAGACGGCGGACAGCGACTTTGTTTTATACTAAGTAGTGATTAGTATAGATACACTGAAAAATACTAACTTTGATTTAATAATTACAGGGACTTCGGAATTTTTGCGCAACGCCATATTTGCTATTTCAGTAGAGACACCAAGCTCTGAAAATTTCATTCAGTCAGTATTTTTTTTATGGCATAAGTCGGTAAACGAGCAGACGGATCACCTGATGGTAAGCGATCGGCGTCGCCCATGGACACCTGGAACACCAGAGGCGTTACAAGTGCGTCACCGGCTTTTTGGGGATTAGGAGTTTGAAGATCGTTGGGGATTCAGGAATTGGGGAGATTGGGGAAGGGGAAGGTAATTGGGTTCCGGTAACCTCACTCACACGACGAAACACAACGTAAGCGTTGCTTCACGTCGGTTTTCTGTGAGGCCGTGGTATCACTCCGGTCGAGCCGGCCCATTCGTGACGAAGCATGGCTCTCCCACACTTAAAACAGATAATATTGTATGGTCATCAAGATTTCTTTAAACGTTGCCCCACACTAGGCTTTTCTCCTGTGTCGTGTGTGCGTTTACAAACATACAAGTTCACATACACAATGACACCCAGACCCGGAACAACAATCTGTGGATCACACAAAGAGTTGCTCCGGGAATCCAACCCGCGACACGTTGCGCGGCAACCAGTTGCCCAGACATCGCCAACTGTGCAATCAGTAAGTGTACCAAATATCAGATCGATCTGTCGTCAGGAAGGGGGTGAAATTGCAAATACTATGACATTGAAAATCATCGAATGACTGCTCCGGCTCTTACTGACTAAACACCACCCCGTTCTTTCTTCTGCACGTCGAGCCGGAGCCCCGGTAACCAGTTAGGTTCTCCGCGACGAAATAATATGGTGGACCCAAACAAACAAACGGGGCAAGCTATATAAAACTGTTTATTTAGTTAAAACTCACCAGCTATACGAAGATCACTGCAAATCGGTTGGCTTGTCTGTAAAAAAACAAAATCTTTACCTACTATCTTTCTTTATTGAATAAGCCGGTAAACAAGCAGACGGATCACCTGATGGTAAGCAATCGGCGTCGCCCATGGACACCCGCAACACCAGAGATGTTACAAGTGCGTTACCGGCCTTGAGGCGATTAGGAATTTATTAGGATTTGGGTATTGGGGAGATTGAGGAGAGGGGGGTGGGGGTAATTGGTCCTGTAACCTCAATCAGACGACGAAACACAACGCAAGCGTTGCTTCCCGTCGGTTTCCTGCTCGGCCGTGGTATCGCTCCGGCCGAGCCGGCCCGTTCGTCCCGAAGCATGGTTCTCCCACACTTTAGTATTATAAAGGTAGATTCTTTTTTAGATACAGAACAGCAAACGAGCTAAACAGATCACTTGATGGTAAGCAAAATGACTTTTTCAAACATTAAATTAAATATTGATAAAAATTTTAAATTTGGTATTTTAAATGTTTAATCTAAACTACGAGAGGGAGTGTCAGACTCTTACTGACTATACACCACTCCGTTCCTAATACTGGATAGGTCCAGGGCTACGGTAACCAGTTAAGTTGTCCGCAGCCTCTCAACGTAATAAACAATAATATATTGTTAATACTTACAGGAGGTTCATAGGACTCCTTTCTCCTGCGATGACGGCGTTTCGGTGGGGACGACTTCGACACCGAAGGACGTATTGGTTCAGCCCTGTTGGGAACGGTTATATTTTATTTATTATTTATTTTATTTTATTTTTAGGCATGATCGTGCCACTGCTGTGCAAAGGCCTCCCTACCCTCCTTCAACTCATCTCTTCTTACAGCTTTTTGTGGCCAATCCATTTCATAGGCGTCAATTTCATCCCGCCATCTCCTTCTGGGCCTACCGCGACCAACTGCATAAGAAACTTCATACTGCGGTCCAAAACTCAAATCGCTGACGTTGATCATAAAGCAGGTATTGGAAGTTCTTCAAGAGGGGAGTGAATAGGTTTCTTAAGGGTCGGCAAGACGCATGTAATGCCCCAAGTGTTGCGGGCGTACATAGGCCACGGTAACCGCTTACCATCAGGTGGGTCGTGAACTTTTTTGCCACCGTCGTGGTATAAAAAAAGCCGCAAGCTTAAAGTGGAACTGGGCTGGTCATGTCTGCCGCGTGTCAGACGAGCGGTGGGCAAAACTTACTGCTGTTTTGTGGAATAAATAATAATAAGTCTAAGTATTTGCTTAGTAGTGTTGTTTGAAATACAACCAGAGCCGTATTATACCTAAGGCAAACTAGGCAAGTGCCGGGCGCCAGGTTGCAGAGGGGCGCCGGGAGACACTAATACCCAATTGCCATATAGGGGCGTCTAACAAAATTAAGGGCGCCTATGACGTGTTTATCCTGTGCCTTTAGCCAAACGCCACTTTAGCGCTTGTCTACACAGAGAGTAGAAAACTAAATGTATGGGGATGAACAACAGAAATATTCTTTATATATCTGTGAGGATGACACTGACAAAATTTGTCAAAATTTGTCAAAATTTACGTCAATTCCATATAATAGGGTAGTTTCCTAAATTTTATTTTAGTGTCCGTCTAGTAGATTAATTTAAAACTTTAGACACGTATATTTTCTTTTCTTATAAAATTAAATACTTTCGACGATATATTAATTTGAAATATAGAGTGACGTCACAGCGTACCATATTTTGTAGCACGTTATGACGTAACAACCTCCCACTCCGAAACTTAGCGCCATTTTATTTAAGTATTGCAACTTAAAACGAAAAAATTTAAAAATACGTGTCTAATATTTTTTCATTATCTAACTGACGGACTAATTCGATTTTTAATTTTGAAACCTTGGAAACTACCAAATCAAATCATTTCAAATCATTTATTTGCAAAAGTTAGTTTTCTATTCTACATGTAGACAAGCGATAAATTGTATTTAGCTATAGCTGTAGGCCGCTCTCCGGGTATATTCTACCTCTAACTGTAACAACTGTTTACATTTTCTGGTAATGGTATAACTTAAAACTCACAAACAGCTGGGGACAGCACAGTTGATCTGTCTTAGCAACTCCTGGGTAACATCGGTAGTCGTTCCCATTTCTAAAAAAATTATAGATTAACTTTAATTAATTATACCTCCTCATATTTTTTTTATAAGAAAATACGTTGCCCCACACTGGGATTTTGCTCCTGTGTCGTGGGTGCGTTTACAAACATACAATATGATAAAACACATGACACTCAGCCCCGAAATAACAATTTGTGGATCACACAAAGAGTTGCTCCTTGCGGGAATCGAACCCACGCTAACCGTGCAGTGAAACTCATCATCTACAATCAATCTTTACTGCCTGACCTGCCTCGTTTGTCGAGTAATCGTAAGTGCGCATGCTGGGCAAGGGGTCTCGAGTTCGATTCCAGGGTCGGGCAAAGTAGTAGTAGCATGGAGTCTGGTATTGTGCCCGGTATTATGACAATAGGCTCAACCCCTACATGGGACTCATAAACGGTTTAAATGAGCTCTATTCTACCAATCAAGCTCTTTCGTTTGGTATCCAGAATGGAGGTATTTGTGGAAAAAATATATTATAGTATTGTACGGATATCGCTTACCTCCAGCCGAGATAGTGGACCAACGTCGGCCCATCAAAGACTGTGTACCAAATATCAGATCGATCTGTCATCAGGAAGGGAGTAAAATAGGGTAGATGCCTAATTTTTATTTCAATGTCCGTCTGGTAGATTATTTTAAATCATTAGACACGTATTTTTTATTTTCTTACAAAAACGAATACTTTCGACGATATATTGATTTGAAATGTCGCGTGACGTCACGTCTATGTACATTTTATACGTAGAAATGACGTTTTAGCCCCCACTCCTAAGCTTTGATTCGTTTTACTTAAGTGTTGTTTGATTATACGACAAAATAAAAAAATACGTGTCTAATAATTTTTCATTACCTAACTGACTATAAGATTTTTAATTTTCATACCCTGTCATCATTCCAATTTCAGTTACTGAATTTGACTCCAAACAAATAAACGGGACAAGCTAAAGAAAATCATTTCGATTATAAAATACCTGTGCTATACTTCTGCACTGGACACGGAACAACAGGCTGCACACAATAACAGTTCTAAAACAAATTGGAATAAAGTTGAGAATGGGTTACCAACAAAAATTAGGTATTTTATTTTAAAGTTTAGTATTTGTGGTACACAGATGGCATTGTAATCAAGTAAGGTCCTCCACTACTAGGAGCACAGATTTCTTACCTCTTGATGTACTATTCTTTCCCCATAAAAAGGATCCATAGTCATTGCTGCTTTGCTGAAAAATACAATTTTATGAATGAGTAAACATAACATAACATCACGACTTTTATTCCCGAAGGGGTAGGCCAAAATTTTTTTTTATGGCATAAGCCGGTAGCTGAGCTGACGGATCACCTGATGGTAAGCAATCGGCGTCGCCCATGGACACCCGGAACACCAGAGGCGTTACAAGTGCGTCACCGGCTTTTTGGAGATTAGGAGTTTGAGGATCGTTGGGGGTTCAGGGATTGGGGGGATAGCTCCGGTAACCTCACTCACACGATGAAACACAACCCAAGCATTGCTTCACGTCGGTTTTCTGTGAGGCCGTGGTATCACTCCGGTCGAGCCGGCCCATTCGTGCCGAAGCATGGCTCTCCCACGCTTATATACATACATAAATAGTGAAAAGTGGGTGTATTACTTCTACACTACAATACCAAACATTCCTTTTATTCGTCTATCACTCTTTATTACCTGGTCTTCTTAGGTTTTTTTTCCTCCACATCATCAGATATGGTGGTAATGGAACCAGCAAGTCGAGCTAGTTCGATGACTCCATCTCTGCTCCCGTCTCGTCTCCTCTCCTGGGCTCTTATTCTATCTCGCCTGGAGTAGATTATAAGTATCATCAACATCTATGGTCTGTTGTAGTTCACTTCTGGACCCTCCTCTACATAACTAAAAAGGCTTTGCCGTAATCTCCAAGCTTAACAGGCGGACAAGAACACAGTTTAAAAGGTTCGGGTTTATCAGGGAGCGCTACTGCCCGATTTCTGTCATATAGACTCTTGGGCCGTGCGCTGCGTTAAGGACATCCCACATTTTGGTCGCCACACCGGCCGCGAGGTGAAACCTTTTAATGCTACATTAACACTCTCGCGCGAGTCGCGACGAGGCTGAGATACATTGTCGTTATTCTAAAAGAGTTGTAGACTTTCTCACATTATAAGACTGCAATGTACCTCAACCTCTTGTCAACTCGCGCGAGAGTGTAAATGTAGCATTAAAATACCTGCCTACGATGCGACGTTGTTTCGCTGCCTCGCCATCAACTCGCCGTGAGCACGCGGGCGCCTCGACTACACCTCGAATGGACCGCGCGCTGACCAACCGCCATCGGCTTTTGTATTGACGTTACAAATTGTATCATATGCTATACGATTTAAAGTTCATATTTAAATGACAACTTAATAGCTGGATTAGAGCCGTGCTTTTTAAATGTGGAATGTCCTTTAAGCGTGCGCACGGCCTTAAGGCTGGTTTTAGTTCGACGCTGATGGCGCGCGCATCGTCAGCGCTGACGGCCGAGAAATATGAACTTCTAGATAGCGGTTTTGATTGACGCGTAGCTGTCTCCATATCTCGGTTATCAGTGCTGATAGTGTGCGTGTTGTCGGTGAGACTCAAACTAGCCTAAGGCATTCACGAGAAGTGTAGCAGTGATGGTAATAGTAAATGATACTACTGTAACCAGAAGCCATAGCCTAACTCATTTACCGAATAAGCATTTAAAGCCTCTGAAGTCGAAAGAATATGCTGTCTTCTCCTTACCGTTTGTATTTAGCTGTGGTTCTTCTCCCTCTACCACCATGCGAGGTCTTAGTTTTACGAGCAGTGGAACACCCCTGAAAGATCCTCTGTGCACAACCGGAACAGAATATCACACCTTTGAACACTTCTGCGTTCAGAAGGTCAGTCTCACTGCAGACATCTAGAGGGATTAAGGAGATTGTGAAAAAGGGGTTAAAAATAGGGCGTAAATGAAGCCTGGTAGTGACGACGCCTTTATAAAGGACAGTCAGGGGAAAGCACCAATGATGCAAAGCAGTTACTGTATGTGGCCTTTGTATCCATGGTTGAATCAGCAGAAGTTTACGTTGCTGATCACATCTTCAGGTGGTCGCAAGTGCGACTGCCGGGCAAGGGGTCTCGGACAAAGTATTAAGTACTGGGTTTTTAAAGAAAATTTCAATAGCTGCACGGAGTCTGGAATTGTGCCCGGTATATGGCAATAGGCTCACCCTCTATTACATGGGATTTATAACATAAATAGTGAAAAGTGGGTGTTACATTGTACAGTGGCATAAAGGCCGTAATGCCCACCAATGCTGTACCATCCACGTAGATGGGGCACGCGTGTCTCGCGTTCTATAGCATAAGCAGGTGCCTATTTAGCCTTAGGGACTATACGGCTCTAGATGTTCGTATGACAGGAGAATTCTTACAGCATTTATGGCACTTCTTGTGGTAGCTGTACCCTTGACGCATGACCATTCTCTCGTGGCTGCATAGGGGACTCTGACAGTGTTCGCATATCTCGCAACTGCAGTAAATATAATGAAGACCAGGTTAATGTTGAACTTCATGATAGAACTAGCATATTCCTTTTTGCTAGTGGCTTTCGCCTATGTTCCCGTGGGATAAAAACCCTAGGTGTTAATCCAGACCATAATATAACCCCTGTTCCAAATTTCCCCCCGATACCTTTAGCAGGTAAGACGTACACACGAACACAAAAACTTTTATGTTTATAATATTTGTAAGATAAAATGATTGATGTAATAATAATGTAAATTATACAAGGGCACAGGTTCAAAACACTTTCTAAGATTATTTAGACACCACTGACCAACGGTGAAGGAAAACATCGTGAGGAAACCTGGGCTTATAATTTCTAATTATAATTGTATTGTAACTTTCGTGAGAGGTACTAAATATATTATTATGTTTTCGGCTTACTCACGTAATTACTTGACAAGTGTAAATATTATAGGGGTTTCCAATAAAACTACCACTGTGCATGTTCTCACTCTGTATTTTGTCAATTCCCTCTCAACGTCCATTCACCTTTTTTTTTCGACTCACCAAATTGCCGCCATAAATCTCCGCTTTCCCGCGTCTCCACCAAAAACCAAAACCCGCTTCCTTTGTTCTTTTTGGTGTTGCCATAATAAAAGTGTTACCCGATTCAATTCCTCAGTTCTTTTTAAATTAAAAATGTATCATTTATAGGAATAAACAAAACAACCTTACACAAGAAACTCGACTAGTTTCAAGCCATACTAGAGGATCATATTCATGAGCAGTATTTCGCACCCCGCGACGCGGCGACTGTCGCGCTGGTACCTACTGTTTACTTACTACTACAACTAGTCGAGTTCCTCGTCAAATAATTACGTGAGTAAGCCGAAAACATAATATTATATTGTAATTATAAGTTTGAAATCGTCAACACGCAATGAGCAACGGCAGTGATTATTGCTCAAACCTTCTTCTGAGAGGTCTTTGGTCAGCAGAGGCCACTTGAAGGATGTTGATAATGATGATGATGATGAACCAAAGTAGGTTGGTACTTACGCCATTACGAATTTTGCTATTTTTTTCAAACAATTTCTACATTTTTCAGTACAAAATAGCTAAACGGAGAATTTGGTTATTTTTAATTTTAATTTTATTTTATTTATTTAAAAATGCTCACATCACACTTTTTTGTATGGACATTGAGCTGTCATTAATTTGAAAACGTCAGATGTCAGTTTTAGGAAAAAAATACAGATAGATATGTAAAGTTCTCCTAAAGAAGTTTGTCTTCTTTTTAACCTTTTGCCAGAGCGTAAACGCATCGCCGGCCCTTCTACGCAAGCCACAAATTCAACTCCAATACCTACAAAAAAATGAGAGAATTCCAACACCTTATCGATAACGAAATCCTAAATAATTTAAAAGTACCAAATTGAAAGAGAGTTGTAAAAGTTATTAACATTTTTAATTAATGAAAATCTTTGAAAGAAAACCCAAGACTATTTTTCACAATTTTATTAAGATATACAATAATTGTAATACATAAATAACATATTTTACACAAAATAGAACCATATTCCAGCACCATAAGGTTTATAATCAAATAGTGAGTTCTGTAGTTTAACTTGTAGAAAAGTCTTATATGTATACATATATTTTTATTTAATACATATTTTTTATTAAGAAAGTAAGTCCAAAAATAACAAAATTATCATTTAACTCGTTGAGTACCGTCATTATAGACACAATTAAAGAACAATAGGTTGCGGTCACCGGTGTCCTCGTGGTGTTTGACAGTTTAACTCGTCGAGTACCGTCATTATAGACACAATTAAAGAACAATAGGTTGCGGTCACCGGTGTCCTCGCGGTGTTTGACAGTTTAACTCGTTGAGTACCGTCATTATAGACACAATTAAAGAACAATAGGTTGCGGTCACCGGTGTCCTCGCGGTGTTTGACAGTTTAACTCGTTGAGTACCGTCATTATAGACACAATTAAAGAACAATAGGTTGCGGTCACCGGTGTCCTCGCGGTGTTTGACAGTTTAACTCGTTGAGTACCGTCATTATAGACACAATTAAAGAACAATAGGTTGCGGTCACCGGTGTCCTCGCGGTGTTTGACAGTTTAACTCGTTGAGTACCGTCATTATAGACACAATAAAAGAACAATAGGTTGCGGTCACCGGTGTCCTCGTGGTGTTTGACAGTTTAACTCGTTGAGTACCGTCATTATAGACACAATTAAAGAACAATAGGTTGCGGTCACCGGTGTCCTCGCGGTGTTTGACAGTTTAACTCGTTGAGTACCGTCATTATAGACACAATTAAAGAACAATAGGTTGCGGTCACCGGTGTCCTCGCGGTGTTTGACAGTTTAAATGACATAGAATATAAAATTCAATGTACAGTCAGCTATTTACTATGCAGGTATGAAAATAAAAATTGCTTCAGTACAGAGACAGTAGCTAGTACATAACATAATTTCATTACGGCACTTAATGCCACTGTACAATGGAACACCCACTTTTCACCATTTATGTTATGAGTCCCAATGTCCCATCCCATGTAATAGGCGGTGAGCCTATTGCCATATATCGAGCACAAAGAGTAGTTTCCTAAATTTTAATATTTAAAACTTTAGACACGTATTTTTTCAATTCTCACAAAATTAAATACTTACGACGATATATTAATTTGAAATATCGTGTGACGTCACAGCGTGCCACATTTTGTAGCACGTTATGACGTAACTAATATTTTTTCATTATGTAACTGACGGACTAATTCGATTTTTAATTTTGATACCCTGAAAACTACACAATTCCAGACTCCGTGCTGCTACTGAGATTTTTTTTTAATAATCTGAGTAATACTTTGCCCGACCCGGGACCCCTTGCCCGACATTCGCACTTGCGACCACTCGGCACTAACTATTGTTGTACTTATTTTTTTTTTTAAAGAACGTTGCCCCGGTCTGAGATTATAATATCTTGTGTCGTGGGTGCGTTTACAAACATACAAGTTCACATACACATCACACCCAGACACGGAACAACAATCTGTGGTCAAAGAGTCGTTCCGTGTGGGAATCGAACCCTCGACACGTTGCGCGGCAGTCAGTTGCCCAACCAACACGCCAGCCTTGCAGTCAGCTAATGTAGTTGTATGCTTTATAACGAAGCCATGTCTTTTGTAACTCAGTCGGTTCTAGACAACCAATGGTTACTATCTCTGTACTGAATCAATCTTTGTTTTATTACCTGCGTACTGAACAGATTGACTGACTTTACACACACAATAATAAAATAAGAACTAAAAACGTAAAATAAAAAATAAAATCTTATTTTTAATTTTAATATTTAAAATAAAGTTTTGCATTTACGCATACTGGCCGTAAAAATGCGTGTTTATATATACATTATGTATGTGTAATTAAAGATTAAGTACTGTTTTTTTTATTTATAAATATATTTATAATTAGGTAAACGTTATAAAATATTGCAAATATAAAGCTAAGAGTGATAAAAATAAGCAAGGACGTTGACAAAAAAACGGACATAATAAATTTTTAAATTTAAGCCTTTTATCCCCGAAGGGGTAGGCGGAGGTGCACACAGAAGTAACACCCACTTTTCACTATTTATGTTATGAGTCCCGTGTAATAGGGGGTGAGCCTATTGCCATGTACCGGGCACATTTCCAGACTCCGTGCTACTAATGAGATTTATTGAAAAAATCTAGTAATAATTTGCCCGACCCGGGAATCGTACCCGAGACTCCTTGCCTGGCAGTCGCACTTGCGACCACTCGGCCAACGAGTCAGTCAGACGGACATAATATCACTTAGAAATTATTAAAACACAAAAACTTCAGCGGGTTATTTCTATGTGCGTGTATTAGGTTACCACGTAGCCTCCAGCTGTAGCCAAATGCCAGTTAGCGCTTGTCTACATGTAGAATAGAAAACCAAATTATATGGAATTGACGTAAATTTTGACACTTGTCAGTGTCATCCCCATACATTTAGTTTTCTACTCTCTCTGTAGACAAGCGCTAAAGTGGCGTTTGGCTAAAGGCACAGGCTTCAGAAAATGACAGATGTCCTTCGTGTCAATGTATGTGTATTCTGCGTGTAAGTCTATAGTAGCCAGGTGCCACAGTCGTTGTTTCAAGAGACGTGTCCGCCTGTTTATCAACGTAATTGGTGATCAATAATAGTTTTTAAATGTCCGGAGGCTGATATAGTACCAATACATTTTTGTTAAAGGAGAAAATCACTTAAAGGTTTTTGAAAAAGTCGTGGTTCATCGTAAATGTTATTATGGGAGAGTGGCAGTGCTGGGCCGGCTCGACCGGAGTGATGCCACGGCCTGACAGAATACTGACGTGAAACAACCATAGCGACGTTGTGAAACTCATTCACAAGGTGAAGCACGACCCTCTGGTTTGTATTATTGGTTTCATTTATTATTTCAATCATTAGTCTTGCAATCAAATCATAATATTTTATTGTTTTTCTTATGGAATAAGCCGGTAAACGAGTAGACGGCTCTGGTGGTAAGCATTCGGCGTCGCCCATGGACACCCGGAACACTAGAGGCGTTACATATGCGTTATCAGCCTTTTGGGGATTAGGATTTGAGGATTTTTGGGGATTCAGGGATAGGGGAAGACGGGGGGAGGGGTAATTGGGCCTCCGGTAACCTCACTCACACGACGAAACACAACGCAAGCGTTGTTTCACGTCGGTTTTCTGTGAGGCCGTGATATCACTCCTGTCGAGCCGGCTCACTCGTGGCAAAGCATGGCTCCACGCTTCCTCACTTAAAATTGTATTTTCATTGTTTTACAATATTTTATTGTAAGTTACAATCGCAAATTTAAATTCAGACATGTTTACAATAGCGACTCTAAGAAACATACAATTTAATATAAGGAATAAGTTAAGAATCTGTGCTTGGCTTGACATATTGCAAAATATTTCTTGTGCCTTATAAAATATTTATAAAAGACAAAATAAATACTATAGGTTTGTTAGTTTACTGTTTTTGAGATCGAATTCACGTAACGAATAGACAGGAATACCAATTGAGATCATATTTTAAAAATATTAAAAAAAATAGATCATTTTCTAAAAAAAAAGGAATTTTTGTTTACGAAAAAATCACAGGATATTTTTTATGCATAATTAAAAACTAAATTTTTTTACATTTTCCGAAAACAATTTTTTTATATTTTTACTTACTAAACTTATTTTTATTATTTAATGCTAAATAATTTCTGAAATACTGGCCCCAAATATTATTGCTTATTTGAATTAAAAAACTAAAATAATAATAATAATTATATCTTATTATCTACTTAAGTACATAAACATTTGAAACAAAACAAATTATTAATAAAAAAATGTGTTTTAATATAATAATTATTTAATGAAAAAAAAGTAGGAAAATATTTTTTTACTATTATATATCTAGTATTGCCACTACTGCCCTGTAAACTTTAATTCATTAAAACATAAATTTTAATAATTATTTCGGAACTTTTTTGAACACTATACAATAAGTATAAGAAAAAACCATAAACCATTAAAAATAATTAATAAGTAATATATTTAAATCACATGGTGACGAGTAGGTACAAAAAACAGCAGCTCGTGTAGTGTAGATGTCCAGTCAACAAGGATGTAGCGAGGTTGACTGTCCAGGCGACACACGTACTTAGGTATCGTCATGAGCTAATGTTCACATGTAAACAGCAGCTCATGTAGTGTAGATGTCCAGTCAACAAGGATGTAGCGAGGTTGACTGTCCAGGCGACACACGTACTTAGAATTAGAGTGAAATTGTACCACTAAATATAATGAGAAAAATAATGTATTATAAAAAATACTTATATTAATAAATGTATTTATATTACTGGCCTTAATTGTTTAAAGTATAATGACACTTATCGTCGCTTAAATAGAGGATATATTTGAATTTTTCTAGGCATTTTTTATAGACAGTGATTGAAAAGACTTGTCTTCCCTTACATCTAGATGGCGTTACTGTGTTAAGGGTTTTTATAGTCAATCTAATTAAAATAGGCTTTTAGAACTATTATCGTCTCAGTCTAGTTCAGGACAATATTATATTTATATAATTATATAACATTTTTAAATCACAAGATACTAGCACTACTTTGCCTAATTAATATAATTTGTATTAACATTGGTAAACTGATGAAATATGAACGCATCGCATGCTTCGAATCTGACAATAGATTGTCGTGTGGATGTCAACTTTTTTATCTGTGGTTGTTTATATTTCTTTTTGGTTTTGGTGAGTAAGTGGTCTGGCATTAGGTCTGGACATAACATAACATCACGCTTTCTATCCCCGAAGAGGTAGGCAGAGGTGCACATTTACGGTACTTAATACCATTGTACAATGTAACACCCACTTTTCACTATTTATGTTATGAGTTCCATGTAATAGGGTGTGAGCCTATTGCCATATACCTGCTAGACTAGACTCTGTGCTACTACTGAGATTTCTTTTAAAAACCCAGTTGCCCGACCCGGGAATCAAATCCGAGACCCCTCGCAAGGCAGTCGCAATTGCGACCACTCGGCCAACGAGGCAGTTTATTTAAGAATTATTTTAATTTATCGTAGTCATCCTAATGTTTTCGTTTACATAAAGAAATGCCCAGAAATAAACAAACGTAATAGATTGATGATAATATCATATTTATCAAGTAGGAAAAATATCTCTCATATCATATTGCATTTTTGTATGCATACCTAGCTTCTGCCCACGGCTTTACCCGCGTAGCCTATGCGTTATTCAAGACCATAATCTATCCCTGTTCCAAATTTCATCACGATCCCTTCAGCCGTTTTGACGTGGTTGAGTAACAAATATACAGACAAACTTTTGCAATTATAATATTACTAGCTTTTACCCGCGGCTTCGTTCGCGTAAAAAAAGGATAAAAGTAGCCTATGTGACATATACCAATACACACAGCGCCATCTATACCAATAATTTTGTTTTCCCTCGGGAATATCACATTTTCAGGGATAAAAAGTACCCTATTATTTAATCCAGACTTCTAACTTTACGTCTGCAAAAATTCAAAGCAATCGGTTTAGTAGTTACGGCGTGAAAGCGGAACAAACAAACAAACTCACTTTCCGATTTATAATATTAGTAAGGATAATAAGATACGTTTGTCATACAAATATCGACCTTAGCACCCAAGTTTTAAGTTCTATATTAGCTTAAACTATGTGCACTTTTAAAATATAGTACTTATATATAAAAAATATATTATTGTCATATCATTTTGAGCAGAAAATCACACAAATAATAATGCCCTTACATTATAATTGTTATTATATAACAATTGTAGCCTTTAATCGAACGTCTACTATATTCGGTAGTAGTTAAAGTCGATTTCAGAATACTTGGTGTATTTGAAATCTTTTGTCTAAGTTTTAATGTAAATTGAACTTTATTAGTGGGTAATAAAGTTCGTTTTTGTAAAATTATGTGAAGTGGTCTTATCTATGTATTATCTTAGTATTTTTTTCGAAAGTGATCAATATTTGTTATTATATTTAAGGTGAATTTCAAGTAAAAAATCTGTTATCAAGCTTGGCTAAACCAAAATGACAATTTAAACATAAGGTACAATTTCGAATAACAAATAGCAAGTATATTGAATTTCAGTGCCATTCAAAGATAGACTTTATTCTTTCACCGTTAGCATTCACCTTCGAATAACAATTTATAAGGAATTTTAAGTTGATTGCTAAACAAATATGAACTCTAATGCTTAGAACAATATTTTTCATAATTTTGCATTACATGCATTCCGAGGTTTTTAACAAAATTAGAATTAAACAAAACTTTAGGAAAAGCACATTAACGTTCACTTTTGAATACCAAAAAATATCTAAACTGACCTTATGTAAGAAATTTTGTCAAACAAAACTTAACTTTATTACAACAGTCATAACGCTCATTTTGAAATGACAAAATTCAACAAATAAGAATCAAAATCAACATTCATGTCAAACGAAAATCAACTCTATTGCACAGAAATTAATATTCACTAAAAAAAAGTATGGATTAAAAAGTAATATTGCCAATTAAAAATGAACTTTATAACCCCTTACTTTAAAGATCAATGTCTCCTCATATGTAATCCCAAGTGGTCGGATCTGGCAAAAGATCGTCTGCACAGCGGACAGGTGAAAGGTCGATGACCCGTGTGTTTACGAGTGTGTCTCGTCAACTCGTCAGATCTGGCGAAACGCCACTCGCAGCCCGCCCAGGCACAGGAGTATGGTTTTTCTCCTGGAACAGAGAAAACAAACAAATATTATAATACAAATGAATAAAGATAACCAAAAAATATCTAGACTTAGCTCACGAGGTTATCGACATGTGGATTGTGGATTCGGCTATCGTTGTGCCGATAGTCGTGTCGGCCAATGGGTTAATCCCTAAAAGCCTCGACATCCATCTCAAGAGGCTGGCGTTATGTGGATGGATCAAGGGCCTGATACAGAAGGCAGTTCTCCTAGAAACGGCACGTATCGTGAGGAGGTTTCTGTCTCTGGAGCCCTAACCACCGGTAGCTTGGACCATGCTCCCGCTACTGGTCGGCTCCTATTTTTTTAATTTTTTTAAATATTATTTTTTTTTTTATTTTGTAAGTAGTATTTAAAAATAGAGAATTTTAAATAAATATATGGTAATTATAATACTAGCTTCAGCCTGTGTTCCTAGAGGATAAATAGCAGCCAATAATTATGTTGTTTCTATAATAACTAAGTATGCTGAAACATACTATATTATTAAAATTATGCACAGGAGTTCTTGCGGCGATGTAGCGCAGCCTACTGACAACATCTGCTGCTGCTGTTACTGCGCGACATCGCCGCGCACGCTGTTCATGAGGAAGAACCCCTCTGTTCTCTGTTGTTTTCACCTGAGTTACCTGCGTTTTTAGGTAGTTAGTCTATATGTTATTCTGGACCATAATCTAGCCTTGATCCAAACCACGATCCCTGCAGCCGTTTTGACGTGATTGAGTACCTAACAATCATGCGCCAAAACTTTCGCATTTATAAAATTACTAGCTTTTACAAAAGGATAAAAAGTAGCCTATGTGACATATACCAATACACACAGCGCTATCTATACCAATAATTTCGTTTTCCCTCGATAATATACATTTTTCCGGGATAAAAAGTACCCTATTATTTAATCCAGACTTCTAACTTTACGTCTGCAAAATTTCAAAGCAATCGGTTTAGTAGTTACGGCGTGAAAGCGGAACAAACAAACAAACTCACTTTCCCATTTATAATATTAAGTAAGGATTAAACTAAGAAATAAGGGAAGTAATAAATATAAAATAGTATTGTTAGTACCAAATATCAAATCAGTCTGCCATTAGGAAGGGGGTAAAATTCCAATTACTAAAGACTTTGGGATAAGTAGACAAACGAGCAGTCGGATTACCTGATGGTCAGCAAAACGGCGCCCTGGAACACTAGAGGCGTTACAAGTGCGTTACCAGCCTTTTGGGGTTAAGAATTTGAGGATTGATGGAGATTCAGAATTGGGGGAGTAATTGGGCCTCCGGTAACCTCACTCACACGATGAAACACATCGCAAGCATTTTTTTTTATGTATCCTTATATAACAAATGTAAGTATGTATTTTATAATCTAAGCCCGATTTTATAATCGTTGCAATGGTTTGACTGTGGGGTCGAGTCGCTAGATATTACAATTAAATGTACTTATATTTAATTGTTTTACGTCGGTTTTCTGCTCAGCCGTGGCATCACTCTGGTCGAGCCGGCCATTTCGTGCCGAAGCATGGCTGTCCCATACTTTTCACACACACACAAAAGACTCAAGCAAACATACGAACCAACGTGGCAAGCTATATAAATAAATCCGTTTAAAAATTACCGCGTTGTTTCCCGGAGGTCATCTGTGAGGCCAGTGCATCGGTGCCGAAACATAGAAGAAAATATGAAGAAAAACTCACCTGTATGGGTCCTCTTATGCGCTTTCAAATGCGAACTCTTCGTGTACACCTTATGACACCCGGCAACATCGCATTTATGCAACCGTCTCCTGCTGCCATCTTCATGATTATTGACAAATCCTTCATCCTTCTTCATATCAATTTTAGAGTTTCTCTGCTGTAAATGGTGTAGAGAATCTGATAGGGCTGTTTGTAACGCTGTGTTTAATATAAATGACTTTAATTCGGCGTCCGTGGTTGGTTTGTGGGGTGGTAGCATTGGGATCATTGGTAGGTATGGTTTCGTCAGTTCTATAGATAGATGGGGGGTGGTCGCCGTGTGAGTTGATGGTTTTAGCCTGTAAAAGAAGATAATAAAATAAAATTAGTTTAATTTACATCACTGCGAAATGGAATGGAAACGACTAGAAACTGTAGATAGCAAAATTAACTTCGTATCAACTGTATCTTATATTTTATACTTATTATATAAAGCGGAGTTAGAGTTTGTTTTTTTGTTAGTTTGTTGAAAAAGAACGAGAAGGAGAAGGGCAAAATTAAAACTACCTTTAACCGATGATAATGCATGAAAAGGCTGATGTCTGTTGATGAAGCGAAAGAGGTATATAGGAATCGTAGTAATTGGCGTTCCACAGTGCCTACCCCCATGGGAGACAGGCGTGAAGTTATGTATGTATGTACAGTCACGAGCAATAACATATATACATTGTCACATTTTCTAAAATATCTTTACTTCTACCATTCAAAAAATATGTGTACGGATTTTTTTTCCAAATTATCTAACCATCAAACTGTGTCAAAACTGGGTATACTTTGGTTTCAGAATGGTAGAAGTAAAAATATTTTAGAAAATGTGACAATGTATATATGTTATTGCTCGTGACTGTACATCCTTTCTACATGTTCAAACCAGAGTAATATTCTCTTTTCAATCCTTATCACTACATCATCTTTTTGCATATGAAATAACTGGTCGCATTTAACAGCTGAAGATCGAGGTCAGTGGCGTGCCATTGTAGAGGCCTATGTCCAGCAGTGGACGAAAACAGCCTATTAATGATGTGGTACTCCTGCATGCTACTTTAAGAAACACCAGTGCCTTTAGCCAAACGCCACTTTAGCGCTTGTCTACAGAGAGAGTAGAAAACTAAATGTATAGGGATGACACTGACAAGTGTCAAAATTTACGTCAATTCTACATAATTTGGTTTTCTAGTCTACATGTAGACAAGCGCTAAATGGCATTTGGCTACAGCCGCGGGTTCCGATGTTAGGTAATGAAAGAGTCAAAAGTTGGACTTACTTGTTCATGATTTGCTTAGGTCGCCGCGCGCTTCTGAGATCTGGACCCATTTTGATTTTAGGTAATTGGTGACTTGAGCTGAAATGGAAACGATAACATAACCATAACATTACGCCTTTTTATCCCTGAAGGGGTAGGCAGAGGTGTACATTATGCCACTGTACCTACAATGTAACACCCACTTTTCACTATTTATGTTACGAGTCCCATGTAATAGGGGGTGAGCCTATTGCCATATACCGGGCACAATTCCAGACTCCGTGCTACCACTGAGATTTTTTTAAAACCCAGTAATACCAGACCCGGGAATTGAACCCGAGACCCCTTACCCGGCAGTCGCACTTGCGACCACTCGGCCAACGAGGCAGAAATCGAAATTAAAACAATAAGTAGATACTATAATAAATATATCGTGAAATCTATTTCGTTTTCATCACGCGGCAAAACAACTTCCCATAGGGAGTACTTTTGATTTATAAAGTAAAAACTAAAAATAAAGATACTATTTTTTAGTAAAAAAAAAATCATGGAAATACGCACATGAAACACTAGACGTAAACTTGTAACATTACGACATAACGTGGTACATTTTGTAGCACGCTGTGACGTCACGCGACATTTCAAATCAATATATCGTCAACTAATTTTGAATTTTTGTGAGAAAAGAAAAATACGTGACTTAAGTTTTAAAATAGTCTACCAGACGGACATTAAAATAAAATTTAGGAAACTACCCTATTGTATCCGGTATATGGCAAAAGGCTCACCCTCTATTACATGGGACTCTTAACATAAATAGTGAAAAGTGGGTGCTATATTGTACAGTGGCATAATGTGCACCTCTGCCTACCCCATCGGGAATAAAAGGCGTGATGTTATGGATGAACTAGATTAACGCGGTAGCCGTTTGCAGTTGTTTGTAGTATCTGTGAATGCTACTTACTTGAATATCAGATCTGTGGCTGAGCTGTCATCTTCCCTGGTGATCATGGATGAAGTAGGGGTACCTGGAAGGAAGATTAATATAACTTTAATTGGAGTTTATATTTGCCCTACACTAGGATTTTCTCCTGTGTCGCGTTTACAAACATACAAGTTCACATACACATGACACCTAGACCCGGAACAACAATCTGTGGATAAAGAGTTGTTCGTAGCGGGAATCGAACCCACGAAACGTTGGGCAGCCAGTTGCCCAACCACCGCGCCAACCGAAAATTCTTTAACCATTGGTTAATCAACTTTTCAACAAGTAACAAACATAGGTTACTTTATATCTTAATACTAGCTACTTCCGCGTGGTTTTTTTTTTTTTTTTAATAAATAAAAAATAGAATTTCTCCACGGACTCGTGTCCGTGCCCTTGTCATATTATAAGTACATACTTTCTATGGTCAAATATTTTTTTTTTTTTATAAAGATCTTACATGCTACGCCTACCACTGTTTACACACAATACTTTATGTTGTTGCCTAATTATTATAGTCTTATTATCTTAGACTAACCCTACTGAATCAGCCCACCAGCACGATGAGCGAGCCGACCTGTTCCAGCAGAAGGCACCCGTTCACGGGTATGACGTGTAGGCCAGCAATCGGTCCGATCAACCATTTCGTAGGGAACGGAACGACCCAGCCCACAGCGCCACCGACTGTAGAACATTTACGAATGCATGACGTCCCCGCCCACGCGGCAGTAAGCTAATTGCAGTAGTGCTAGTGGTTTTTATTAGTCTTATTAATAAACTTATATTACTTTACATTAATTACATTTTTAATAAATACAATTTTTTTTTTTT